CTGGTTTCTGGCGTGTCTCTCTCTCTCTCTCTCTCTCTCAAACTGTCTCCGTAGCACGCTGTTTGCTCCTCCATTCGACTAAAGGTGCCGTTATGTTGTGCAGGTGTTAACGCCAGCCCTCACCACCACCCTGTGGAAGTAAATTAGCTCTAGAACTCGGAGCTCGGAAAAAAGCCTCCGTGTTTTGCAAAATGTCATTTATCTCCTTGTTGAGTAAAAAATCCTTGACTCGGGGCAAAAAAGGTGGTGCCTGACGCCTTCAAGTAATACCGAATAGATATCTCGTTTTCCTGTTTAGATGCCATGGTGGAAATCTAAGCATGGCTATGATCACTATGTTAAAATGTATAATGGTTAATAAAAAAAAGGCAGCATGTTCAGCGCTGCAACATTGCCTAGTGTTGCTTTGAGCGAACACTGACTAACATACAACTTGTGAATCTATGACAGTCAAACCGCAGGTGACAACAGTTAAGTGACGCAGATTAGGAGTGTTAAAGAGAAATTGTGTGACCACGGTTAATAAATTGCACTGATTCGAAAAATGAGACTGTAAGGTTGGTGAAAATAACAAAGACGCAGAGCAGACCGTTTCTCTGCTGAAATCTGAGCTACGTAAGATTTTCACCCTTCTGACCACAAAAATGACAGACATTTGAAAAACATGGTTGAACATTTAGGTAAAGCGTACTGAAAATCCACATCTGGTCAGCAGTCCAAACACTGCTGTGAGTAACATATGGGTAGTGATACATTAGATTGCTCTATAAAATCTCCAATGGAGTTTGAACATTTACAGCTTCTGGGGACATGAGTTTCAGGTGTACAGGGAAGATCATATTTAATAAACTAATGTGAGATGCAAGAGAGTGCAGTTTTGAGCATTTTACTGAAGGTTTACAATATTCTGTTGTACACAGCAAGGGAACCACATCTGTGCAAACTGCAGAACTTGTTTTTAAGCAAAGATGGGGTCAGATGTGCCCTGGCCATCTTTTTTGTAGCAGCTGGTCTACTTCTTGTCTACTGACTTGGGGGGATCAGTATGGCCTGTATCTACAAAAAAACCTTCACAAAACCCAAGGTATAATTTTCAGTGTGTGTGTGTGTCCTACTCCTTTGTACTGCTGTTATTACATCTTTTTGTTTTCTTCTTTTTTGTCATGCAGATTTGGTTGTAAGAGGTAGTTTTGCGTTACATAAACATCCAATTCATTTAGTGGGCGAGGTAGGACAGGATACTGTTACCCTTAGAAAACTATTAAGTAACATCACTTTTCCCTACTATAATTTTGGTCTACTGATGGTGGACTCCAACAGTCTTGTGGCAAAGAAACACCTGTTTTTTATGCCATCAAAAGCTGCACGGCTCTTTTCGGGTTCCTCTTTATTAACTTTGCTTTGGCTGGCAGAATCGGGCTTTGAAGCCCTGCAGAGTGGAGCAGTAGCCGGTGACAACTACTCATCAGCCTCAGAGATCTGATGGCTACCAGATTTCCTTGCCTCTGAGAGTCCACCCGCAACCTATTTATGACTCCCAACAGATGTTTCTTCTGGTTTAGACCAGTGGAAACCTTCTGGTCTCCATTTATAACCCAAACTTTACAGCTCCCCCAATTTACACCCCTTCTTTCTCCCATCTCCTCCTCCTCCTTGTGAGGATAGAGGAAAAAAGCCTGAACCTCGTCCGCACTCCATTACTAGCATATTGAAACGTCCGCTTTGTATGTTCAGCCTTGTCCTCGCTAAATCAAAGGCGTAGCAGCTGAATTAGTCAAGTAATGAAAAAATGGGGTATATTCTTAACTGTCTTTGTTGTCATGGCACTGGCAGGCGTTCTTTGACGTGGTCTTCCAGAGAGCCTCGTGGCTCTCGCCGCTGAGCCGCAGGCTGCTCCTGGGTTAGGTGACCAGAGCCCTGCACAACTCATCCCCGGGAGATGAGAAGCAGCGTTATAGAGGGACACCGATGCGGGTATTTAGTGGGGTCCGGCCAGCAACAGAAATACATCAAAGGCAATATTAAAGAAGGAACCTTTCTTTGCGGCTTTGTCTTTTCATATTCTGAAAGGTCATTTGTGAACCAACTGTGCCAAAAAAAGGCCTTTCCCCAGAAGTTTACTGTTGTTATTTTTTACTTTTTGATTACAGTAACTTGCTTATCCCCCAAACGGACTAAAGAACAATAAACAAATACAAAAGGAAAAGGAACAGCTCATCAATAACAAAGACCTGCGTTTTAAAGCTTTGAGTGTACTGACTCTTACATCTCACTCCAAGCAAAGCAGGAGTCCTGCAGAGAAAGGAATCTAAAAGATATGAAAATTATAAAGATAGTAAAAACAATGTTTGGTAGGGATATTTTAACTTGGTGTGGAGAACCGAGCTTTTAAAGTGCAGCATGCTGAGGAAAATGGTTTTTCCCCCACTGCTGTGCGTTGTGGAGCGCATAGGGAATTCTGTATTTCAGTCCCTGCAAACTACTGTAACCCGGGTGGATGCGGAAGGTCTAGCTTTCACTTCAAGTCAAAATTTTGAAATTGGGCAGCTCAGAAGTGTTGTATGTGGCTTAAAAAACTAAATGGCATCTAAACCTAATCCTTTGAAATCATATCAAAATTGTCTCTTACAAGAGGCAACAATACAGACCACAAACCTAACCTATTTCTGTGTTTTTTTTTTCTTTTTTCTTTTATTTTCAAACTCTGAGTACAAAGAAGGCACTAACCATGGATACTGAAACTGTGCAATTTGGTGTAATTATATTCCCCCCCATAGATTTAATGAAGGACTTTTAAGTACAATTTATCTTTGATAAATAGTCCCTCTGCACAGAATGTTTATTAGATTGACAGCAGAATACACTCTGCAAGCTTTTTTTCCTTGCCACTTATGACTCAGATGAATTTTAATAGGAGTAAAAAGCTTTTATTTGCACAGTAATTTCACTTAAGGATCATATCCTTCAGAAACTGGCAGACACTTGTATGTCTTGATTGCAAAACAGACACTTGAGAGTAAAGAAACATGCATAAGATGTTATTATTTGACTTGTCACACTGCTGCAATTCTATTTGCAACTTATGTCATCAAATCGCCTATAGGCATCACCTCCGCTCTCCCTACAGCATACGTGCAAGCGTGCGCACACACGCACGCCTAGAAAAAGAAACTGCACACGGCATTGACCGTAGTTGCTTGCACACTGAGCTGTATTTTGGGTTGGAAAACGTGAGTGCCACAGCCTTAACTGTCGTGATGATGCCTGCAGGAGGCTTGGAGTTACAGCAGCTTTTTGCATACAAAATGGTGCTGGTTTCCCCGTGCCACATCAGTGGTAACCAAGGCACGCGTTTGGGAGTGGGTTCTCAAATCTTTGGGTGCCCCGTACAGCTTCTGGGGATGATGTTGTGGCATTTTATGACATGTACTGGGGTGGTGGTGGGGGATCGGCTCACGTAAGCATTTGCTTGTGTTTCTGATGAGAAGCAGGTATTTCCAACTGAACGGCTGCGCTGTTCGTTGCACGTAATCTTGTGTGTCCAAGCGCCATTTATGGAGGATGATAATCCTCTGTTATGTATTTTTAATTTGGCTTTGAAAGCTGCTTTTGAAAAATGTCGCTGCAGAACTCATCACCTTTTGCATGTATCTCTGAATACCTTGTTCTACTCTCTACAGAAGCAGAAGGTAGAGTCCCCCTTTACCTTCGCCATAAGGAGATCGGATTTTTTCTGTCTGTGTAAAAATGAAAAGTAAAGACGTTTTATCGCTAATAAAACAATAGCTAATTGTTTTGGAGGAAAACATACTGTTCAAAGCAAGGTGTTGAACTTTACATCAGCAAAATACGCATTTGACTTGTAAATGCAGTTCATCCAATGCTTCTTATTAAAACCTTTGTTTAAATTATTGATGAAGTGGGGTGCTGGTCTTGGCTGGGTTGGCCTTGGTGAGGCAGGAGCTTCACGCAGAGACCTGCTGCCATCTACTGGCTTTTTCCATCCGTGAAGGCCATCTGTCCAAGTGCAGTGCATTATCTGTCAAAGTGATTACAAGTTTTTTGAAAACGAAGAGCCTGGAGCTGAAATCAGTGCGCCCACTTAGATGTTTTCAGAAGGGCTTTGTTTAGAGGGGTGCTCTCGGCCGCGCGAGGTTCATCGTGTTCTTTTCCTTTTCTAATCCCTAGAAAACACACGAGGGAAAACATTCTTTTTTTCTTAAAGTACGTAACAGCTGCTGGACAGTTTTTACTACAGATAAAATATATTCGGTACAACCAAAATGTTCCATCATTTTGCCTGTGCGTGAAAAAACGGAAGTGAAATTGTTTAATATGTTTTCACTGCAAAATCTAAGCAAGTTACTAACTTCAAACATTAAATACATGATAAAAATAAATGTTTAAAAAGTAAACATCATATTTAAAATCAATCACGGCATTGAAAAAATCTGTCAGGCTTTCCCAAAAGGTCAGTTTCCAGTTCAGCACAGCACTGGAGACAAATCCCTCAATATTCTGTGTCCACCAAAGATAACGTGCAGTAAGCATAAGGATATTTCTATTTTTTTTTTTTAAATTTGTATCTCCCCTCTCTCTCCCCAGTTTTTAAATGAATCTGACATTTCTTTACTGTACTTGATTCTTTCCTTTTATGTGCTCATCGCTGCAGATTGGGATTGCATATTTTTCTTTCTGCATCCTGAAAACGAAACTCTGAATAAAGATTTTAAACAGTAACTTTCAGACACTCCTGTGAAGAACAGATAACAGATGTAGTCTATAAAAACATGCCATAAAATAATGCAGATTATTGACTGGAATTCACCAAGGTGCCGTTTTCTAAAACATTCCTCTTCCTATTCTTTAGTACAAATTACAAATACTGACGAAGGTTGCTGCAGAGCTGAGCAAGTACATGCCAGAGAAAGCAGTAGAGGACACCTCCAGCATTTTGAGATCTCCCATGCCTGGAGCAGTGGTGGCAGTTTCTGTCAAGCCTGGGGACACGGTAAGAAATGTGATCTATATATCTGCATTTTCATTATATATTCCGCACAAATTTCTCCTTGGTGCAACTGAAACTACAGGTCACAGCTTCATGGTGGTTTTTTTGTGTGTGGTTTTGGGTTTTTTTGTTTTTTTTTTGTTTTTTTTTTGTTTTTTTTTCTTTTTCTTAAGTCACCTGTAGAATAAAATGTGCTGGAGGATTTGTTCTGCTTTTCATTTGAATTCTAAAAACTAATAAGGAAGCACAGTTCAAATTAAACTGGATTTAAAGGGAAAATTTTCAGCTGGGTCCAAGTCAACAGCTGAAAGTCAACAAATAGCTTGTTTTTGTATCACAAGTGCCTTGACAGTGGGGAAAAAAATTGTGTGTGTATATGTGCATGTAAATATACGTAAGTATATATGTGCTGTTAGTGCTAGCAGGAGGGGATTGTTATTTTCTGCCCTGAAGCAATGAGAATGTTGCTAAGCATAAGGGACACAGGATAGCTATTTAACTTTCTCCCCCTCCTTTTTTTTTTTTTTTTTTTAGTAAAGAGTCCCTGTGTTAGCATTTCGCAAGGCACATGAATTTCCTGAATTGGGAATTCCATGCTGGGAATTCCCAGTCTCTTACGGGAATGCTCTCGTCCTGCAGAAGGAATAAACTTGACGTACAGAAGGGCAATGGAACATGCTGTTGCTGTCCTGGGGATTTCCAGCGCTCCTTACCTCACATTGAGCTGGAAACGAATGTAAATACAGTGTTTTAGAGTTACATATAAACACCTACTTGAACTTAGCTTTATATGAAATTCTAGCACTTTGTATTATATGTTATTTCTAAGGTCAGGGCCCTTATCTGTCATAACCATTGAAAGCAACAGAGTGATGCAGACACAGGAATATTTGAATCAGGTTGTGCAGATTAATTTTAAAGTAGTATTGTCAGTTAAATGATGCCATAAACATGTATGTGGTACTTAGATACAAACAGAAAGCTTTAGCTGCAGAGTTCATAATTTATGGCAGCGAAACCTAGATTTCCTTGAGACATGATGTAGAAATGGGATAAAGATCTCAAGTCCAAAATTAGGACTGCACTTACTATGTGACGGTCATCAGTCGTGCTGGTAAAGTGATTTGTTTGCTTATATTTTGCTGTGATGCCACTTTTGCTTTTAGAATATATGGATATTTCCATTTATTTATAGAGAGAAGGGAGAGTCACTGTGTTAATACAGAAGATCTGTAGGTGCAAATGTTCAAACTAATGAAATAGAGATTTCTGAGAAAACAAATAAGTACAGCTGAGTAAAACTTAGCAAGAGAGAAATTCTTTTAGCTTCTACACTTAGATTTCTGGGTTTGTGATCTATACATGTTTATACCTTTAAAACCATCAGTATGCAATCAAAATTAATCACTGGGTCATCGCATGGACAGCGAAATCTGTGATTTCTGTGTCTAGGCAGTAAGAGCGTCTGAGCGAGGGAGATCTTAAGCAAATACTTTTTTTTTGCGAACAATGAAGGGAATAATTTTTAAGGCAAGGGGTTTGAGCCTTTTTTAATTTCTTGTAAGATTTTTTGAGAAGTTAATTCTGCTAAATGTTACCAGCCTTCTTGCCCTGAAGAATAGTCCTTGTTGTCTTGGAGGAATAGAACCAGTGGAGAAGGAGGCCAGAGCCAAAGGGATTTTAAGTAAATAAATAAATGAACCTCCCTCTGCAAATCCACAAGTGGCGCAGTGCATCAGAGCGTAAGTTGTTAAATAATGTGTGGAGATTTTTTTTTTCCCCTCTTCTCCTCTCCTGCAGTTTTTTGCTGGAGGCATTGAGTGGCAGAGCATTTGAACGGCATAATCTATGTTCCGCTGACCTGAGCTTGTCAGTGCTAATTGTGTGGCTTTAATTGCAAAAACACATTTGCGTTATTGAAGAGGGTTTAACTTCAATCCTTCCTTTTCAGGACTAGTGTCAAAACGTTAAAAAAAGAAGCGGGCCAGCGAGCGAGATGGGGGTAGCATCAGCTCCCGGCGCTGGGGTGGTGTGATTCAGATTACACGTCTTGGCTGTCCGTCAGAAACCAGCTCGCTCACTACAGCTGTTCAAGGCATGACGGGCAGGGAACCGTAGCTCCCTGAAAAATACAGCCCTTTTTGTTGCGCTGCTTGGGAAAAGTCCGATTTCTCTAGTCTGCTTGAGAAACGGGAATTTAAGTAGCTCCTACTTTGTGTTTGCAACTGGGTTTGGCAGCTCAAATTTGCATGGTGTGTGAAAAGAGCACAGCTGAAAAACGGGAGCGAGCGAGGCAGTTGTCCATCCTCCCACTCGGATGTTGCTGGGGCCGCTAGCGATAAAGCTGCCTGGTCATTAGCTGCTCCGAGGTCGTTTTCCCCTAACCTGTCATCTGTGCGAAACCGCGTCGGCGCAGCGCGGTCCCGGCGACAGCGCTGTGCTCGCAGAGGGATGCTCTCAGCGCGGGCAGTGGCACGCGGAGCTGGGCTGCGGTAGCCCTCCTCCAGGTGTAACCCTACGAACGGTGAAGAAACTCCGGGAGAGGGACATCTCGTCTTTGAACAGCCGCACTTGCAAACTCGGGTTTATTGCCTGCGGTTCAGCTCTAGGGCATCACACCCGGTCAGGTAAAGCATATGGTGTTTGTTAGTCCCTCTCCGTGTGTCCGGAGCCAAATGAGAAGGCGACGCTGATCCCCGCGTTGGTTTTTCTCACTCAACGTATCGTCGTTTTTTCCTTGAAGCGTAGTGTTCTTGTTTGGCTGCTGTTGCTGAAAAATACTTTGGTCTGATGAAGCCCGATAGAAGATTGTGTGAGCATCTTCCATCCAGCTGGTCTGATAAGCAGTTTTCAATTAATTTTTGCCAAAAGATACTACATATGCAAGGAATTTATTTTCTTTCGTCTGTAAGATGATCTATAGATTTTAGTAACGCAGTGGGGAAGTGCTGTTTGTCATTTAGGGAGAAGCAGAACTTGTGATGCTGCCAATTTTTTTAGCTTTTTAGTTACTTTCTTTGTTTTCCTTCATGTGGTCGGAAGACTGTAATTAGTTGTCACTCAATTATTCCTGGAAACAACAATGAAGGCACTCAGAAGCAGAAAGCAACATAAGCAACAAAACAATTTGAAATCTGGCTGTATGGAAAGAAGGTTAATAGTATCTAGGGAGGGAAGGTTTAAATTTTGCTTACATTCCTCATGATAACGCAGTCACGTTATGTAGGAAATACCCATTTGGAGGGGGAGGGCGTTGGCGTGTTTCTTTTCTAAGTAGGTTGTTCATGATGAGTGTGAAATACGGTTTTGGGAGAGTTGCTTTTTGGTTCCCCAGGGTGCCAAGGGTCAGAGAAACCACCGGGCTTCGAGAGTCCGGGTGAGGAGCTCGCTCTGTTTCGGGGCCCGCCGGCGGCAGCGCAAGCCAGCCCAGCTAGCCCACAGCGGTGGTGGTCTGCCAGAGCGCGGCCGTGGCACTGCGTGGCCGTGGCACTGCGCGCGGTTTCCATCTCACCACAAATGCAGCACCGTGAAAACTACCAAAGCCACACAAATTCAGAGGGCAGGAAATAGGCAGGCGCTTGCAAATATTTCTCCTTCGTCACGAGTTGCTTGGCTTGATTTTTGTGCACGGAGGAGTCTGTGCATTGAAATTGCAGGAGCAGGGAAAGCCCAAGATCCTAATGCTTGAACAGGTAAAGCAATGCTGTCGTGCCACATTTAAAGCGAGCCACCCAAAGTGCTCCCAAAGCTCCGACTTTGGTAGTCTGAACTGTCCCCAGCAATTAAAAAAAAAAATCTTAACTGTCCAGATTGCCTTGTAGCCTTTGCTATATTTTCACCACTGAACATAGGTTTTGCTTTTTCAGTTTTCTATCTGTCAGAAATGCAATGATGTTTTTCTCCTAGCTGCATGTTTCTGTTGGTTTTTTTTTTTTTAAGTAAGTTAGGCAGAGCAGGTGGCATTACTAAGCCAAGCCTTGGTCAATACGCTAACACCAGTGCTAGTAGCCTAAATCACTTTACTGATTCCCCCCATCCATAAAAACGTAAAAGGAAAGCAGCTCTGGGTAAACACCCAGCACTGCTGAATCTTTCTAGGACTATGGCCAAAAGAAGAGGACAGTTAATTATTTTGACCTAAGTTTCTAAATTTCCTCTCTTCTTCCCAGTAATTCAAGATACCCCAGGTTTTGGAAGTTATCACTATTCAAACCACTCTTTAAATGGACTTCTCTCATATCAAAATTCCTTATGATTTCAAATTGGTGCTAGTGTAGCCATGGGTATTGATACTGCATGGAGTGATTTTTTTCTACCAAGATGTTTAGCTGTTAAATGTATGTGCTCATTATCTCAGTAATTTCAAAATTGGGTAACTTGAAGGCTGCTTTTTTAGTTGTATGACTTGCAAAACACATTACCGTCAGCGATTCCACGTTTTAAAAACAACGGAGGAAGATGTTTTAAACTGCATTCCTCTTCCAGTTCAGCTGCATGCACGGTGCTTCAATTTATCTTGTTAATTCTTTAGAAGAATAGTTTAAAAAAAAAAAAGTCTTTCTCCACAACTTTCCATTTCACAAGTCTTGGAAAGTTCTTGCTATGGGTAAAGACATGTTTTGCTTGACCTCTACTGCTGAAATGCTCACTACTAAAAACCAAAACAGCTTCCTAAATTCTGCTGCTCGCTACATCGTTCATTCTCGTGAAAGAAAAGGTGGAATTATAAAGCTACCTGTTGCCATCAGCCAGTTGTGTGATGTTTTAAATCATATTTGCCAGTCAAAATCTTAGGCAAAAAAAAAAATCTCTTTCTTATCTTATAATTATACTGGGTAGGATTTATAATGGAGAAGTAACAACCAGGAGAAACATGAAAAATTTATTTGCTTAAGTAACAGTTTCACGTTTTATTTAGATGAACATGGTATCAATAATTTAGTAAGATACTCTTAAACTCAAATAAGATTTTTCTCTTGTGTGTGAACTTTTTTTTTAATTCA